CACAAGATTTTTACCGCGAAACATAGTCGAAATTTATCGCTATATTTCTTATTACTTCTTTCAAAGAAGGATAAACGATAGAAATGCTCGCTAAGCAAACGATTTACCCCCAAAAAAACCGACACTTGTAGGAAAATTGAGAAATAATGTAAATAATTAAAAATAAAGTGTATGACAAAGAAAACAATCTCCGTTACTGTGCATCTCATCCTAGAAAAATTATCCTTCTAGCACTATAATTCGCACACAAATTAAAACAAAATAGCATACTCTGCCCTGATAAGGAATATATCCGATACGATATCCACAGACAACTCCATATTCAACCGACACCGATTTCTCTATTTTTCAAAATCGAAAATACGCGGCGCGACAAAGAGTGCCAAATTAGAATTTCTAATTGCAGCGAAGTTGTGCCCGTACGTTGACAATACGATCTGACCTTTGCCCACGAGTTTTAATCCGACGCGACGTTTTCATCTAAATGTAAATTTTTACCGAGCAATAATGCACAACCGCTTTTCGGTTTTGGGCGCTGCCGACGAGGATGCAGTTCGCCATAAAACATCATTTGAAGGGCGGCGCGACGTCGACAACGTGTGAGCAAAGAATGCGAAATCGAAGTGTCCCGGTTTATACTACAACGAAGGGGACGTCATGAATATTTACGACAATTAAATGTTTCGACCGGAGGCGCGGCGGCTACCACACAATGCAACGGCAGAGGATTCGTTGATTTCTCAAGTTTGTGCATAATTAATCGAGGTGCCCTTAACTTGGCGCCTGACCCGACGTTATGGACGCGAGTTGTTTGATGTTCAGGTTTGGAACATTCAGTTTCCCGCTTTTAACCATCGTATACAATTTAATCTGGATTTACAACTGTCCCCAGTTCTTATGCCATCCTCTCGGCATAACCAACTAAAGGCGTACATTGAGAGCATGCAAGTAATAGTTTTTTTCTCGTTAAGATCGATATAGTAACAATATTTTTACAGAATCACTCTGTAAGGAATGCGTCCTTAAACTGTAAAAAAAGCTAACACTATTGCTATACAGTTAAGATATGGAACAAATTAGTTTAAAAATCATCTATTGCATTTCAATAAAAATGATCGCACGTGTCCGTCGTGTCCATCAGTAAATATACAGGGTGGGTCACAAAGTAGATATCAATACAAAGTTCTTTTTTTAAATGGATTACAATTTTTTTAAATCCATTTTCCAATTATTTGTCACATTTCACGCATAATTCATATCGCATGCCCTAAATCTATCTGTTACTTTCTGTCAGTAAAATAATAAAAAAATAGAAATTTAATTTTGAAATAAACAGGTGAGTAGCCAGTACAAGCAAAGTTCTTAAATTGTTATAATTACATTCTTGTCAGTAAAGAAAGTGCATATTATAATTTTTATTGGATATGAAAACAAAACGAGAGCTCAAGACGAAGTTTGTAATTTGTTTAACGCGAATCATGCAAAAAGATCCATTACAAAATCCACAGTTAGTAAAATTGGGGAAGAATTTATAAAATCAGAGCATGTAAAAACCAACCAACCAACCAAAACCTGATGAGAACACAAGATTAAACATTTTATAAAATATAAGAAGAAAAATATCCTCCCGACAATATTAAAAAAAGGAACTTGATATCAACATCTACTTTTTGCCCACTTTCTATATTTTATATTTACTGCAGAAAATACGCAAATTCTTCCATATTTTTGCCGTTCATTGAACATCTCTTTTCATTCCAAATATTGTGTATTTTACAGTTTCCTATATAATTCGCATTATATAGGTGTAGGCTTACAAGGTGTATTAAACTAGGTACTAATTTGAATCCCATAGACGTGTTCGATCTTCTAGGAAAATGTTATCCTTTGTGTTGATTATTACACAGATGAGTTTTCCATTAATTCTTTTTGAATTTATTTTAACAGGGCTAACCGCGATTCGATCAAATTTATTGGGTTATAAATCGCCATCTTTATGGTATATGTTACAGAGCATGTTTAGTTCCTCAAAACGGCTACAAAAACCCTACACCTGACACTACTATTATATATCACTTTTCATTTTAAATGTTCTGTATTTTACAGTTTGCTTTTTTCAAAAAAAAGATTTAAAAATACGCCAATGTGACATGTTATTTGATCGCCATAAATGTGTGTTCCATGATTTTTTTTTCTTTTTTTTATTTTTTTTTATTTATACACAGATGATTTATTTCTATGAACTCTTCTTAAAGTTGTTTTAAAATAACTAAACTAAATGACCATCAAATGATTCAAGTTAAATCCGGTAATAGTGATTTTTTGCGTGAAGCACCTTTCCAAAACCCCACAGCTGACACCACTATTATATAATTCTTCTCATTTCAAATATTTTGTTTTTTACAGTTCCCTATAGAATACCAGGTGTGCATAAATTGCTATTAAATTAATTTTTTTTTAAAGGGTGTCGCAATTGGGGTTTTCCCCTAGAAATATTGTAAATTTTTAATTTTAATTTTGTAATCGGGTTTTACAATATCTGTCAACGCTGGCACCTACACTTAGGACCAATTTTGTATATTAATATCCGCTACAAGGAATATGTCGTGTTGATTTTACATTCTATTGAATGTATTTCCTTTATAGGAACAGTGTTAGTAATATCGACAACGGTTAAAGTTAGGATTGCAATTAAATTAGAAAAAAGTTGTCAATTTTAAAGCTTGTCATAAATTCTTTCAAATGTCTGTTAATTTCAGAAATACATATATAAAAAACATTGAAATTTACTATGTTAAATATGTAGAAATAGCTTGATATTAGAAAGATAATTAAGACTGCAAGTTTTGGTTTCGCGGTTTTGTATCAGGTGTGACGACAAAGGACTTTTCTCGATCACCGTCCTTAAAATGTGTTCAGAAGTGAGATCGGCAGCTGGAGACAGTCATCAGTACAGTAGGCCTATATAGTAAAAAGTTTTGCTGCGTTTTCGATTCCTGCGCCGTATTTACCGTCGTAGAAACCACGCGAAAGCTCTTTGGTAAATGATACATAAAAATTAATTAAAAAATATTTATAACAGGTGCATATTTAAAAAAATTAACTGATCATACCATCTTGAGAGGAGATAGAGTTGCTATGGCAATGTGAAATTAGTTTTTAGATCCCTCTAAAAATAAAGTCGGATCAAAAATAAAAATTGCGGCAAATCCATATCATGGTGAATTATTTTTGAACATTGACATACCCCAAGACCATAATACGTTGATATTTGTAATTAGAATTACCTATCCACGAGTATGAATTTATAAAATTGTTTATTAATTTTACGGATTTTATTGATGAAATATCGTGAAGCAAAACACGTATAAAGAAGTATATAGGATTTATATTAGGTGTTATAGAAATGTTAATAACGAAGGTAATAAAATAATCCCATCGAGCAAGAAATATGCCATAACGGTTAGATATACTAATACTGTCCCTAGGAATTAGTTTGAGTTACGGTATATTTTAATAATATTAAAAATTAAAATTAAAATATAAAAATTATAACATTAATATTAATATTAAAAATAAAACATTAAAAATATCTTAGCAGGCCGGAATGCGAATCTAACGTTCAAGCGAACTTCCCACGTCTCGTTGGGAAGACATCTGACTTGAATATATAATTTTGGGGAGGGTCTGTGGGAGGCAACAAAAAGTCCAAACGGGTTTACAACGGATTAATAGTATCAGTATAGTGGCAGTAAAATCGTTCGCAGTCAACACAGGCAACTAGATGTCGATGTTCTCGGTTATCTTCTTATTAGTCAGGAATGAGTGGAGTTTTTTATATTTATTCACATACATTTACTTTATATTTATATCTGGATTGGTTACCGATCAGGTGCGGGATAATCTAGACACGCGTTCGGTTTTACGTAAATCTAATTTTTTACTACTGGTATTTTTATAACCTGAGTCCCTGTATGCTCATTTATGGATTGAGTGGAAATATTTCCATTATAGAAAACCAGAAGTAACTTCTCAAAACTTCATTTAAACTGGTTTATATACACAGATAGACTTTAATACTAATGCAAAGGTGATAAAATCATTGTAGAGATTTTTTTAGTTCAACTACTAAGGCGATATTGAGAGTATTGGGGGATGTGGGTCGCGGGAGGTAATGTATTGTGTGATTGCACACTGCATCAGAGGAAAATCATTAAAATCCTATATCGCCAATCGAACCCATTGCGTCGAATTTGGAAAATATTTCTCCAAAGTAATGTATTTCGAGGATCTATCTCGAATCCGTCACTAATTATTCTTTTTATCAATTATTTCTGCCCTCATACGATCCTCTTTACAGATGATAATGGCCTTAGCCCTTCTAGTAGATTTTTGGTGGCTCTAATTTCGATGACTCAGAAGTGGTTTGCTGCCCACATACTAAGTACTGAAAATACATTGGTGATGTCAGTTGATAATCGCATATTAAATCCCTAGGAGTCTTTTTATTATGTAGATTTTTCCATTTTAAAATCAAACAATTTGTTTGATTAATTTTGGTTAGTAAATCTGAATTTGCATTTCTATTTCGAAAACGTAAAATTATAGCTTTGCCCTGTGCGTGCTTATTTACAACTTAAGGCACACAAAATTTTCGAATTTTTCACAAACACTGTGACATTAGTAGCATGTAATTCATAGTCTAATTTTAAATTTTGTACTTTGTTCTTACTTAGTAGTCAGTTAAATTTAAAATTTTGAGTATTGGACCCCGTTATATATTTTGTGTGTATTGTGAATATTTTACTATTTGTTTATATTATTATATTTCTCCGAACTGAATAAATTCTGGTATCTTATCTACTAATTTCTTATATTTTAGGTTTCGAATCATGGACTGGTCAGCGGATGACGTCACGCGAAGCGCTTGATTGCGGCCGCGCGTTGTAATGTGGACCGACTCTAACAGAACCGCAGTGATGGATTCCGTCGGTTCAAATTCGACCGCAGATGCGTGCGGGTGCGACCTGAACTGCACGTCATTGATTAACCAGTCGTACGCCGCGTGCGGCAAAACCGTGAACTACGTGAACATCACCAACGAAATGCCGATAGCGTACGCGGTGCCCCTTTACGGCTACGTGATGCCATTCCTTCTGGTGATAACGATAATCGCGAATACTCTGATTGTGGTCGTGTTGAGCAAGAGACACATGCGAACTCCCACGAACATTGTGCTTATGGCCATGGCCCTCTGTGATATGTTTACTCTTCTAGTACCTTCGCCGTGGCTGATTTACATGTACACACTGGGCAACCACTACAAACCGCTGTCACCTATCGGGGCGTGTTTCGCTTGGACCGTAATGCACGAGGTGGGTAGACTTTGGCTACCGAGGAGAATTCCAGTAGTGGATCTTTGTACCGTGCGTTTAATTTATCTTGATAACATTTTAATTGGCTGTAACTTTTTTGTTTTTAGAGATATCAACGTAGACGAAAAACAAAATGTAGGGTTAGTAGCTAAGTTTTTTGTCAAGTGATCATATTTTTTTAAAGGGAACACCCTGTATATTATATATGTGATAATAGAATATCTTATTGCGATTACAATAATGCAACACACTTTATATTTTAGTCCAGTAAAAAATTATTTTACTATTCTAAATACTGCTGTATGTGACCACCATTTTCCCGAACACATTTCTCATACGCTCTAATTGTATGATGTCTTGCATTTAGTAACGTTTCCGGATTGTCTCTCAACTGTGTACGTGATTTTTTATGTGCCCAAAAGAAAAAAAAATCCAGTAAAGTTAAGTCGGGGCTGTTGGCTGACAATCCATAGTTCCGCCGTTCTCTATCTAACCCCTGGGACATTCCATGTCAAGAAAATTTTTAACTTACGCAACATTGTGAGGAGGGGCACCGTCTTGCTGCCATATAATCAGCGCTGGTATGTTAAGCGTCAAATCTTCTATATATTTTTGTATTTGGTGCTCTAAGAGTGGCAAATAATGATCTGCAGTTATCTTTTGATCTATAAATATCGGACCCGAAATATGCCCATCTATGACCACAGCATTGATTTTTACCCCTGGGTTTTTATTTCGTGTATTTGTCTTGGATTATTTAAAAACCAATGTAGCGTATTTTGTCTATTACAAGCCTTTCTTGTAGTGAGCGAACTTTCATCAGTCCATAAAATTATTATTCTCATTATGTATATTTAAAAAATTCAAACAAAATTGCATCCTCCTTTGACATTATTCTGCACTGAGTTTTTGAGTTTTTTGAAATTTTCAAAACTGAGTGGATTGATCCCCGAGAAATACCCGTTGGTATGGATGTGCCTCATGGAATCCTAATATGTTTGCTTTATTTTCTTTATTTAAAACATTATGAATCCGGCATTCTGGATAAAGTCTAATATACTAACGACGAGCTGCGGTTGCACTTTTATTATTCAGAAAGTATACTTGAAGCATATTACTTCTTTCACGGATGCTAAATTCGCGAAAAACCATTTTAACAATAATGACTTGGGCAATTATTCAACCATCAACGTTGTTTACTAATATGTCAAACAAACATATTATTTATATTTTTCATTCACAATTTGAACTTATATAAAAATTTAAATAAAGCGTGTTACATCGTAGCAATCGGAATAAGATATTCCATTAAACGCATATATAATATAAGGGGCGTTCCATTTTAAATATGATGTAGGCTTATATGTCAGAAAATTGATAGTGTTTTGTTTTATACGTCACTTGGAAGAAGGCTTGGCAATAACACTACATATTGTGTTTTGTTTACCTTAATATCTCTAAAAACAAAAAAGTTACAGCCAATTAAAATGTTATGAAGATAAATTGAACGCACGGTACACTTCTATCAGAAATTCCCTTACAAATTACTACTAAATACCATCTAAATTGCCACCAATTTTCTCTAATTACAACCACCTCTGCTACTCCAATGATATTGTTTTTATTAAATAAATTACAACAAGCAAGTAAATAATTTTTTTTTCAAATATAAAATATATATAAATATAAAATTCGTTAACTCACATTTCGAGAACAATAACAGAAATAACACCAACACGATAAAACAAAATTAGAGTTACTCTTTACAAATCTTCTGGATTCCTCCCGCGTCCTTCAGTTTGAGTTAAACGCCAGCAAGTTCGATTCATCCAGCATTCCAGACGATTTGTAAATAATATTACCGTAATGTACTGCAAAAAATTAATATCAAAATTCAAACAAATTACAAATTAATGCTATGGAAGCAACAAACAGTTTTGATAATGTAATCGAAAAAGACAAGCAAATTTTATGGGTATATAAGTGGTACCAGAAATAGGACAGTAGGACACTCGGTAGAACACAAATTCACCGGTCAAAATGAAATTTACTAAACTCGGTTGTTTAACAACCCTTTTAAGTGAAAACGATCTATCCAATAGAAAATATACTCCTTTTCGGACAATTAAACATATCAGACTGATGACTCAGCAGAAGATATTTTATTATCAATTTTGAGATTTTTTTTTTATTGCCAATATCATAAAATGAATACGGGAATAATGTTAGAGAACATGTCAGTCGGTAATTGATAATTATTTGGGTACAAAAAGGAATCTAGGGAATAGATTGCATTCTTCTCAGCTTTGTTGGAGTTCCTTTGAAGTTTGGGTTAGTTTAGAATTTCTTACTTTTACCAAAATTATCGCCAGCGTATTATTGTGGTATTTATTACTATAACTCGACCATAAAAAGTACCTAATGTTTCTTGCTCAAAATTGGCGTATTTATGAACACCGACCTACAATGAAAACACAGAGGAACATGAGCCGAAAGCAACCCCACCCTTCACTGTGTTCTTTCCATACTCTCAAAACATTGCTGACCACATATCACAAATTCTTCAGAAATGTAATGTTAAAACTAGATTTACCGCTCGTTCAGAAATCTCTTCTATATATCAATGCCAAAATTTCGCTTGAGATGTGAGATGCGAGATGCATTCCATTCATAACACAAAAAATATCAACTGTTCGAACAAACTAGAAGTCTTGAATGTAATCAATTCTTTTACCAAAGAAAAATCCGAGTATCCACAGAAATCCTTAAACAACCAAATAATCTTAACCGTGACTTTTCACCAATATAGGAATTAGTCATCCGGAAAAATGTTGATGTCCCTTCTTTGGCTTCGCGTCCCTCGAGTAGAACAGAGTGGAACGCATAGCAGTTCCAGGAAGAACCCAGAAGATTTGTAAATAATGGGTGTTTTTTTTTCGATGTATAGAACTTTAAGTTGGCATTACTGTTTAAGATGGTGACCGATTCAACAGCTGTCAAGTGATTTAAACTCAGTTTGGTTTGGCAATTCATCATGAATAGACTCACACCTGAACAACGCTTGCAAATAGTGCAATTTTATTTCGAAAATAATGGTTCTGTGCGAAATAGGTATCGCGCACTACGTCCATTTTATCGTCGTCAAAATCGTCCATCAGAGCAGAGCAGTTCTATTAACCATGAAACGTTTTCGCACCACGTTTACTCTTATTGATAACTCGCATCCCCAGAGACGCCGTACGGTGCGTACAGAATAAGCTATTGCTGCTGTAGAGCTTAGCATTGCGGAAGACCCGAATGAGACCAACCGCCATCGAGCACAGGAATTGGATCTGTGTCCATCCACTTTATGGAAGATTTTGCGGAAGGATCTTGGTTTACGTGCTTGCAAATTCCAACTCGTGCAAGAATTGAAGCCAAACGATCATCAAGTAAGGCGTAGATTCGTCGAATGGGCCCAAAACGAGATTGCCGTTGTTCCCGATTTTCATAAGCGAATTTTGTTTAGCGATGAAGCGCACTTCTGGTTGAATGGCTACGTCAACAAACAAAACTGGCGCATTTGGAGCGAAGCTAATCCTCAAGTGTATGTCGAAACCCCGTTACATTCAGAAAAACTGACTGTTTGGTGCGCTTTATAGACTGATGGAATCATTGGTCCGTACTTCTTCAAAAACGATGATGGCCAGAACGTTACAGTCAATGGTGATCGGTATAGAGCTATGACTACTAACTCTTTCATTCCTGAATTGAATAACCATGATGTCCAAGAGATGTGGTTTCAACAAGACGGCGCAACATGTCACACAGCTCGTGCCACAATCGATTTATTGAAAGACACGTTTGGTGACCGCCTAATTTCACGTTTTGGACCTGTGAATTGGCCTCCAAGATCTTGTGATTTAACACCGCTAGACTACTTTCTGTGGGGCTATGTAAAGTCATTGGTCTATGCGGATAAGCCACAAACGTTTGACCATTTGGAAGAAAACATTCGCGGTGTTATTGACGATATACGGCCACAAATGTTGGAAAAAGTCATCGAAAATTGGATGTCCAGATTGGACTACATCTGCGCCAGCCGTGGCGGTCATATGCCAGAAATCATATTTAAAATGTAATGCCACAAGATTATCTTTCGGATAAATAAAATTCATGTCAATCGAATAATCCATCGTTGTTTTATTGCAACTTAAAGTTCTATACATCGAAAAAAAACACCCCTTACTATTACAATAGCCTGTGTAAGTTTCTTTGATAAAAGAGTACTACGAGAATAAGGAAAATCCTTCCTTTCCTCGCAATTCGTTTTGCTTGGTAACTCACAAAAAAAGATGCGGTTAACCAGTTTAAAAACTTCTCAACTTTCCACATACCTAAGTGGCCATTTACGCGGTCCCCATAAATACCACTGATTGATTTATCTAAGATCCTTTCTACAAATGAGATTTTGAGGAAGTCACATTTGAAGTCCCAAAATTGACTGGCGCTCCCCCTAAATCGAAACCTACAGAGGGAAATCTGACACACGACGTTATCAACGTATTTTCTTCTTTTCAGCCGTCCTGTAGTTCGACATAAGGAGATATTATTCTATTCTCGTTTAATTGATTTATCAGAAAGAATTTTCGCCGAACGTGGGCGAAAAGATCGCTAATTGACTTGTTGCTGTCGCTCCGGTCTTTCCACAAAGGAGCGGGATTCAATTATGGTCGCCGATCGAAGTCTTTCGATATTTAATCCAGCACTCGCAGGAATTCAAACCCCGTCAAGAATTGCATTTATATTTTGCTCGACCGACGATTTCTTATTATGTGTTTGTTGAATTTGCAATAACCGTGGGAGTGGAAGAAAAAATCCCCGACAATAGCTTTTAAAAGAGCCGAACCAAAAATTTGTTGCCTCAAAGACTACAATGGCTTCTGAATACGTTTGAAGTAATGCTGGTAAATAATTATTTTTCTCCACAATTGAATAAAATTCAACTACAAAGTGATCCC